AACAAATGCCCCTACGAAATTTTTAATATTTATTTCAATTTTTTTATCGATTTTAAATAATAAAATTAAAAGTAAAATAATTCTTAATTATTTAATGGGGTAAAACTTCCCGAATTAATTTCCACAATCTTACAGGATATATTTGACAAAAAATAATCCGTAACAAATGCGGAAGCTATAAGCTATGGCTTCCCTCTATCTACCCGCTTCTCTCAAAATTGGGGTTAGGACTTCACCCTAATTAGGGTTTCCCCTAATTAGGGTTTTGGGTTTTGCGCGCAACCGCACGAACACCGCAAAGCCCTGCTCGACGCGAGAAAATTTTTATTAGCTTTCACTAGTTTTAGAAGAAAAACTTATTGGATTACATTTTTAAATTCTTTTTTCTTTTAATGTAAACAAAATAACAAAGAAATTCAATTTCCCGTTGATTTTCTTCCACCTTTTCTATCGTTTGGAACTCGCCGTTTGTCCAAACACAGTCCGTTTTCCCCGACTAGGATCTCAAAATGTTGGGAAAAATACAGGGACCAACTTTGGTCCGGCGGGCTTCCCCTAATTTCGCTTATTTTCCCGACCATTTCAATAAAACGAAAATCAAAATTTTTAGAATTTTTAATCAAAAAATACAAAACATTCCATATCTCGCTTTTTAGTCGTTCGAATTTCTCAAAAAATATCTTAAAACGTTCGCCTCGACGAGAGGACGAACTTTGCTCCGGTGCGCCTCGCACGAAAGCGCGCAGATCAGGAGATATCGAGGAAAAACCAATTAGAATTTTTAACTCATGATTTTTTAGATTTTTAATTAAAAAATTTTAAAAAAATCCATATCTTTTTTTTTAGCCGTTAGAATTTTTCAAAAAACGTCTCAAAACGTTCGCCTTGACGAGAGGGCGAACTTTGCTTTCAGCGCGGCTCGCACGAAAACGCGCGGATCGAAAGATATTTCAAAAAAACTAAATAAAATGATTATAGAAAATAAAACTAATCAAGAAAACAAGCTAATTAGTGTTTGACTAATCAGCCCATGCACCCCCGTTGGTTGGGGAAGGCCGCGGCCTTGGGGGTGCTGCTCCCCTCCCCGGCAACGGCGCCAAAGTTGTTAGGAAACTCGGGGAGGGGCGCCTACTGTTCGCCGAAGCCAAGGGTGACGGCGCCTGTCACTCGCCTCGCCCGCTTCCGAGGTCCTCGGCGACCAGCAGGGGTTGGGGGTTAAAAGTGGTCTGTCATCCCTGCACACTGAAGGCTTACTTCATCCCCCGTAGGATCGTCAAACTTCACAAGTCATCTTGCTCAATAAAAATTTACAGTTCCTTGACGCGGCACGAAATCTCAGATCAGCCTTGTTCTCGAGTATTTACTGTTCCGCGTCAGAAGCATTCTCCCCCTTTTTTTTTTTTTCTTTTTTTTTTTGTTATAAATAGTAATAAAAAAAGTAAAATCACGGAGTGTACATTGCCCGGGCAACCTCAAGCCCTCCTCTCTTTCCACGCTCCCTGTCCTTGCACTCTC